TTTATGTTTTCTTTTTTTTTTTTTTTTTTTTTTTTTTTCTTCTTTTTTTTTTTTTTCCCTTTTTTTTTTTTTTCTTTTTTTTTTTTTTTTTTTTAAAGCAATCATTCAATAAATGCAGCCTTGGTGTATCTAACGCCTCTCCTTCAATGACATTCTTCTCTAGCCTTGTCCCCTCCGCCTTCTCTTTCTCTCGATCTCTCTCCCTTTCTCTTTCTTTCTATTTTTGCCTTTCTATGTCTCTCTAACTTAAACTCTGTATCTGTGTCTGCCACTCTCTCTCTCTTTCTCTCTCTCTCTCTCCTAACCGTCCACTTCTCTCCATCCCTCCATTGTCTTCAAGCAATTCGTCCATCCATTCCTCTGTCCGTTCACCCATCTATCATTCCAATTATTTCTTCCACTATTCCCTATATTTTCTCGGTGAACCTTTACATTTCCTCCTCCCGCATGACCGATCACTTCAATTCTCCCCTTTTTCTCTTCCTTCCAGAAATTCATTCAGTTCGCGATCTCCCACAAATGTATTTACACTTTGCTCGGCCAGCGTTTGCCGCAATGTGAAGCTAGGATTGAATAAGAGGTGCATTTCCTCACATAACTGAACCAACATTTGAAAACCGTAGCCACACCACACCGAATTTATTTGCGCATATTAATATGCAAATTGTACTCAAGATATAAGCTTGCAATTTTATTTATAAGTTCTGTGACACCAATGACTAAGCTTACTATTCGAATGTCCTCTAACGTTTCGTCCTTAGAGTCTATAAAGATTAACTTGCACAATGTTTATTGTAGTCACAGCATGATTATAGTAACGTAGTCGAAATACGATTATAACATTTTAGTTGAAACATGATTATAATGTTGAAGTCTAAATATGATTATAAAAGTGTAATCGAAACATGATTTTAATATTGCATTTTGAAATGTTATTTAATATTGAATATGAAAAAAAAATGTTAATGAAATGTTTCTAATGTAATACCCCACCCAACCTACCCTACCAAAAAAGAATGACACATTTCAATTATTTGTGTTCGATTTGCAACCGGTGACTTTGTGAATTTTTTTCCAAGAGCTTCTTTGCTGATCTCTGTTTTGTATTCCTGATTTATCGCCAGGTACATAGTCGTCTGCTTCCCGTTCCAGGCCAGCTCCATGTGTAACGTGTCCAGGGCCAAGAGGGTCATCGTCTGCTTGTTTTTTCTGATGCTGGCCCTCAACTTGCATTTTTTCTGGACAGTGGAGATTGTTCGTGTAAGTTTATGTTAAGGTTTAACACCGAGTCGAGAGTTAACACCAAGTTGAGGGTTAAGGCCAAGTTGAGGGTTAACACCACGTTGAGGGTTAACACCAGGTTGAGGGTTAACACCAAATTGAGGGTTAACACCAGGTTGAGGGTTAACACCAAATTGAGGGTTAACACCAGGTTGAGGGTTAACACCAGGTTGGGGGTTAACACCAAATTGAGGGTTAACACCAAATTGAGGGTTAACACCAGGTTGAGGGTTAAGGCCAAGTTGAGGGTTAACACCAAATTGAGGGTTAACACCAGGTTGAGGGTTAACACCAAGTTGCGGGGTTAGCTAAACAATCAAAACTGCAATTAAATCCGCTACCATTTCCCGTTGATTTTTAGAAAAAGAATGGTTTATTGTATGAACTGTTCCAAATCCTCTCAATCAGGGGTCGGGAACCTATGGCTCGCGAGCCAGATGTGGCTCTATTGATGGCTGGATCTGGCTCGCAGACAAATGTTCGATTATAAAAAAAAAATGTTTCTTTAGACTCCTTTGATCTCCATATTAATTGCATGTCAATGTTTCA